CATGTTTAAAAGTGGTTATTTTTAGTCTTGTTTCTATAGAAGTGTGTGCCCTGAACACTATATTTGTCTCGTCAGGCGGTGATGCAGCCACAGGAAGCGACAGCCGGCGCCGAGTTCTTCGGCTTCGTTGAAACAGACTTATTGGTCATCAGACAACCTGCCCACTCGTTCTAAAACCGTAGACAGCTTGTTTATGAAGAACGAGAGAGAGAGAGAAAAAATCCTTTTCATCACCTGAAGGCTGCTTTGATTTTCTGGTGSGGGTGAGAATTAAAGGTCAGAGCGCCTTTTTTCACAAAGCTCCACATTCTGCTTCATTTAACAGCCTAAAACAGTCTGAATGAAAAGAAATATAAAAAAAGAATAAACTTATTCACAAACTGAAACCTTCAGGCATTAAGGGTAGCAATGCTTAAATGTTGAAATATCTTTGGCATTTTTGACAATATTTTCTGGGATTAGAAATATGAAAACTGTTCTGACAAAAACACAAATATTAGTCTGTTTACTGATGGGCAACAAGTGCAGGAAAACCAACCAATTAGAGGCTTCTGTCAGAAWGGGAGAAATTACAACACATCTGACCTCAAATCCAACTGGAACAACACGATGCAAAGTGCAACAGGAGAAGTTAAAMCAATTGTGCCTCTAAAACAACCCATGCAACGAAGTTAAATCAACAATTGTGAAACAACGCGAACAAAACATATTTTAGCAGAAACTTCACCAGAAAGGCAGTTTCTGCAGGAATAACAGATGTTTATGTATCAAAATGTCAACACTTRCTTATGATTAAGAGTTGARTAAYGGTTTATTAGATTAAAATTTGTTCCGTTTGATGAACTGATAACGTCACTTAAATGGACTAAAGATACGCAACTCTGTTTCMGTTTGAGAGTCGAAAGTAAAGATTTCAAACTTTAAACTAGTTCTTAAATTGTGTTGATAGGTCAAGYACAAGAATTATKATAAATAATACACACMATCTTTTTTGACCGAATGACCATCAAATTTGATTAGGAGTGCAACGATATAGAAAATTCACGATTCGGTTCAGTACTTTTGTCTCACGGTTCAATATTTTTTCGATAAAAAAAAATATAAATTTCCATGCCCTTCTTAACTTGTAATTTATTGAAATTAATCATGAACATTTGTTTAACCTCAAAAAGTACAGTTTTTAAATTAAATGTTGTAGAAACAGCAAGTTTCTCAGTGGATCTGTGCTCAACAATGCAGCCTAGGTGGAGTAGTCGAACACAGATCCACTGATCCTTCAACACATCTTCAGAAGACAAGTTAATCAAATAAATTTTAAAAAATCTGTATTGTTCGATACAAGTGTGAATTGCACCTAAAGCACAAAATGGTTTGATATAGATGCATGAATTGTTGCACCCCTAAATGTGATGTGTGTCACATTGTGAGCAGGAAACACTGTTCCACGAAGTAAACACCGCAATCTTCCATCAGTTTCATCTTTCTCGAGCGAAAAAATATAAACCGCTCCAAATGTTTTTTCTGACTGAGCTCCCAAGTTATTCGTCAAGCAGCAAAAAATCTACAAGACGAAGAAAATAAAAAGATGCAAAAGTTGAATAAAGTGTGGCGACAATGAAGAAACAGCGAGAACGGGAGAAAGTACTTAGATGTGATATTTGCAATACTCAGCGTGTTCGGATTTTATAGAGTGAACTTTAGAATCAGAATCAGCTTTAACGTCATTCACACACAACATCAAACATGCAATGCAGAACAAAATTTGCAGTTTAGAACATTTGTTCAAAGAAAGACGCACATAACAAGCATGGGGGAACGGGTGAACAGGTCTTGCGCAACGAGTCGCGCTACCTTTTGTAGCTTGGGAAATACACACAATAGGAAAGATGAGTTAAAAAAGATGCTCTGATCCTATGTTTACTCATAAACACAGAATCATATGCTTAAAAAAACCCTCGCTCAGTGCAAGGCAGCTGGGGGTGGGGGATCAAACACATGGTAAGAGGTGGGATGCAGTGAAGCCGGTGATTTTCAGGTTAATACTCCGTGCTGGAACCAATCAGAGACCCCCCAGTGTCCAAAACCAGTTCTTATCAACCCAAGCTCAATTCATCAGAGTTCAGTTCTGTCACCACCACCGTGGCCTTCGGACTGGTCCACCCACGGATGATATGGGGGARGGAATGGGGGAACAAGCCTTCGTTCTCATCTCATCCAGGGATGTTTTTATCACTGCTGAGSGCCAAGGTCGGCAGCTGCAGGGATCCGAAAGATAAACATAATTGTTTTGGTACAAGCAGCCTTGAATTTCTTGCTGCTTTACAGTCTTGACTGCATCTCTGTAATGGCAAAGAAAGCAGATTGTTCCAAATTTCATCACCTCCTCACCTCTCTTTCCGTCTGAAACTTCACCCAGGTGTAATCCTACATCTCATGGGCACGCTGCTGAGCTGTGATTCTCGTCAGAATCACATCCAGTTTGTGACTTACAGTATATCCCCCAGCATCTGGTTCTGTGTGTTTCCAGTACGGGAGATTCCATCCATGGTTCCTGACAGCTTTTCACTGGCCTGGTCTGCTGTCAGGATCGCTTTCATTTTCTGATAAGCCAGAACTCCTCCACAGCCGAGCAGCGGGAATCCAGCTATCATAAATCCAAATATGTACAAATCTTTAGTTTAGTGTCTTTAGTCCATTTTAGTAAAAAAAAAAAAAGAAGCTGCATGGCGCTGCACTCAGAGAGATCTGTCTCTGCGGGGGGACAACGAGGCCCGCCCACCTGCTCCAGAACCAAGCATCAGATTTTAGCTCTGGAGAACAGGGTTGGATGTTTACAGTGCCGAGAGGTAAGCAGGTTCCAGCCACAGAGAACCCCTGGAGTCCAGTTAGACCCACTAAAGGCCCCCACATACTCTGGCATACTTCGCTCCGCGGAGGTCCACGCGGATTCGAGGCGGACTCAAYGCGGACTCGAGGYGGCCATCCGCYGGACTGGTCYGCGCAGAGATCAAATTTTTACATCCGCATCCGCGGTGTCACACAATAAACTACCCGACGAGTTCATGTCAATACYGTTTTGAATATGACACCATGAGAATCAGTGTCATTTGTGGACGAAATGCATTCAAAATCCGAAGGGCATCTCATGGAGGAGATTAGAAAACTTTATGATGCRTCAATGAAGGAATATAAGGACCTTCAGCGAGCAACAATTTTGTGGGAGGAAATAGCTCAGATCCTGGGTAAAGTAGCTCTTTTCTTTTTCCTTTTGTTGTTTTAAAGCTAAAATGAAAACCAYCTCTTCTTCCTCAACCTTGACATCAAGACTGAAATTGCGAGAAACTGAAGAATTTGTCCGGCGGTCAGTACGCTCGAGTATGAAGTCTCAAACATCTGCGGACAATATGCATGGAGTCCACATTGCTCACGGACCGCACACAGTACACCCGAGTATTTGGGAGCCTTTAGAGTCCAACAAATATTTTATCGTTTTAACCGCTGACAGAATCAACTGCAGCAACAAGAAGAAAAAAATTCATAAATTCTAAACATAAATAAATTCTAATAATAATTTTACATCTGTTTCACATTTTTCATTTTTTTCTTTCCCATTCAGCAGCCTAACAGATTCCTGTTTTGTAATACTTTATGATTAAGTTTAATAATGTGTGAGAAATCCACATTTTTGTTTATTCAGTCAGTATTTAATACAGCTGGCGCAATAAATTATTAAGATATAATATTGTGCTTCTTTTTTGAAACTCAGTTTACTATAAAAAAAGTCATGGAAAGACTTGCTGATACAAGAGAAAGCTCAGGT